AGTGTTTAAGCTTCTATCCTGTGCCAGGTACCAGTGATATCTTTATCCAAATTCCTTGAAAAACAGAGTCTGAGATGATAGTTTATGAGCTAACACTTTATTAGAGTACAATCTTAGAGAAATGAGAGTGAGGAGAAATAGGGGGTGAGGCAGGGAAGGAGGGATACAGCTAGGATGGTCCCTGACCCTCTGGAATTGACCTTCTTTTTAGAGAGACATATGTGTATATGGATGTATTACAGTGCATGGTTGGTACAATTTAGAGACGCTGAAAAAGTGCCATGTGAGCAAAGAGGAGAGAGCAATTTATCTAGTTAAAGGGAAGTGCAAAGGCTTCCCACAGCAGAAGACAGCTGAATTTGTGCTTGAAAACTGGGTGAGAGTTTGTCAAATGAAAAGGAAAGGGAAGAGAATTCCAAGTAAAACTAGCAAGGTGTAGAAAGTACACAATAGGTATGGATGAGCCTGGTACTTCAGATGAATAGCGAGTAGCTCAGCATGCCAAATATAGAGAGGTCAGAAGACTGTTAAATTGACAACAGATTCCTAAACCATGCTCATATATACAAGTCAAGACACTCCATGTTCATGGTTCTGGGGAGTCAAAACAAGAGGAGAAAACTGGAGTTTATATTATATGTGCCTGAGATTTCACAGATAGCCCTCCCTAAATTAACTGAGCTTACTTGGAAAATACCTTATATCTAGGGAAAAAAGGAGGTCTAATATGTTGAACACGAGAAAACCCATTTTTCTAAAATCCAGCTCCATGCATACAGGTATCAAAACTCAAGTTCAGTGATCCTAATTTGTTCTCTGTAAGGGACCACTAGGTTCTATCCCCATTTCAAAAGAGGGTCTTTCATCATAGATAGAATGTCCAGGAACTGCCTGAGTCTGGAAACAGCAGCAGCAACCACCTTTTAAATGAGCATGGTGTTTAGCTCTCTATGTTGAAGACTTCACTCAGTTCTCACCACAAATCTATAAGGGAGGTGCTAATAACCACAGGTGAATAAACAGGCTCAGAGAGGTTAGGAAGTTGTTTCTTCAATGTTGTTTAGCTAGTAAGAGAAAGAGTTTGGATATCAGATATGTTGTAAGGCTTAGATAATACAATGCATGTAAATTATCTAACAAAGTACTAGTATTTAGTAGGCATTGAACAAAGGTTAGATTCCTTCCATGAGGTAGTTTTCTAGCAAGCATAATGGAAGAAATATCGATAGGTTAAAGACTCCCTTTTTTCATCCTTACAAGAAATCTTGCTAGGGGATTGAAGAGTATTCAGTTGCTAGAAAGTTTTAAACTCATGCTGGAAAGTTACCTTATATGGATATTATAACCTCCTACTTATCCTCATCTTCTATTGAAAAATCAAGCTATTTGCAGATTTTGGCTGATGATGGGCAATTGTACAAAATAAAGAAAATAGATTCAGATCCATTATCTTCTCCTAGCAGGCATGATATTTCTTGATGTGCTAATTCAACCCTTTAGCTTTGTATTCACTGGAGACAAACAGGCATTGAGGAAGAATTCTGGCATATTAATATGGAAGATTAATATAATTACATCTTCTGTTGATGAGACTTCAGCTTTGTAAAGTTGAGGAACAGCTTGATTAAAGTATCTGAGTGAGGTAACAGATTACTTGGGTTTGATAGTGCTAGAACTTCCCACTAGATGGCATTATTGATCTTATTTTAGTTTTTATCTCCTCCCTCCAACTCTACCCTCTTGAAATTTTTATTTTTACACTCTCATAGAACCAATGGAAATGTGACATGTTTCCCAGTTTCTCTAGCAAGTTTCATATGTGTGACAATGTTACCATACTCCTAATAATGAACCAAATGGACTCATAATGAGAATTGAAAGAAGATGGTGGGAAGGGGCTGTGTTAGCGTAGAGGCTAACAGAGGGAGACATGTCCCTCCACTCTGGGTTTCCCAGATGTAGTGCTTTTGTTAGAAAGGTATAGAGAGTGGTTTCTCGTTCTGGAGGACTTGCTAAAAAAGAAAATACTTTGAAAGCCTCTTGCTAATGGCATAGACTGTCCTCATAGTACTTTGTGGCCAGGCAGAATTGGCCAAGTTCCAATCTCCCATCTATAAAAAGAGGAGCAATAGCACCTATTTATTGAGTTGTTATGACGGTTAAACATGAGATTGCATGTGAAATGCTTAACACTACAGCTGCATTAAGTTCTCAATGAGTAGCTCTCAGTATTTCTTGTAATTATGGTTTTTTGTTTGCCATATTAAACAAAATTAAAAGAAAACATACAAAGAAATCCACCTGATAAAAAATGAACAGTATTAAAAATTATAAAGAGGAAGGGAATTTGTGTTAAGTGAATGAAACGTGAACATTTGCCAAGTGCTTGCTATGTTCTAGAAGCTCATTTAAAACTATAAAATAAGCCTATGGAGTTGGTATTGTTATTATCCTCAGTTAATAGATTAGGAAGCTAAGGCCAAGGTCACAAGTAAGTGGGAAAGCTGAATATGAACTCAGGCTTTGTAGCTCC